TGACCTGATTCAAGTTTGATATACCTGCTTTAAACTTGTTTAGTCTTGTGTGCCTTTGCCAATGGCTGCCTTGGTCCAGCAAAGTCTTCTCACCTATTTGCCAACACTTGAACTATCCTTCAAAGCACGGTTCAAGTTTCCTGTCCAGCTGAAGAAGGTTCAAACTCCAAAACTGGATTATTCTTTCCTGCCTTGAGTTCTGACAAAACCACATACACATTTCTTATCATACTCTTTAAAAATGAAAATTATCTCTTCCCACAACTTCGAATGCTACCAAACCAAGAGCCAATTTTCATTTTTATAGTTTATCTTATTATAAGTGCCAGTCAGTAAATATCTGAATTGAACATAAGTGCTAATACTTATATCTGGTTTTATATAATTATTTCTTTCCAATGTTTAAGATTATAAAGTAAACCAGAGTTGTTCCTCCAACTACACCCGTCACCTCTATCCTAGCGCTGACTCCCAACAGCTCTTCTAGACAACATCTACTCTAGACTAACACCAACAGTTCCTGTTCCTCCCTGCGTCACTTCCCACATATATCCATTAAGGTAGGGAGCACCAGCTTGTACCAACAATCCCATGTGCCTTCATGGATAGCCCTTGCTTGCCCTGACCCCAGATGGGAGACTTACACTCCTCTCCAACTGCAGTCCACCCACCCAAACTAGCTTCCCCAGTCCCAGTCTAGACCCATACATTTTGCACCAGGACCCAGCCCGGTGAAGCCACTAGAGCCTTCCCTCCATATGCAGCCTCCTCAATAACCAGTATTGACAGGGTTCCACATGCGGTGCCAAGGCATAGTTGGTTAGCTGCACCCACACCACCCCAACCTCCAGGCTTAGATCAAGAGGCAAACACACACCAGCACAGGTCCCTGTATCTACTAGACTTCACACCATCTACATCAATTTTCAGGCCCTACCTGAAAGGTTCAGGCATTATGCTGGCCTGCCCCTGTTACCTGGTGGAACAGGCAGTACCCTGATCAGCCCAGGGTTCCATGGGAACTAAGTCTGCACGCAGGTGCAGAGGACCCCTTTAAAAGACAGATTCCTGCCCATTTACACACTCTCTACACTTGCTCTCTACACTTCTCTCTCTAATCTTCTCTTCTCTGTCTGCTTCTGCTACTCTTCTCTCTCTCTCTATGGCCACCAGCCATGGCAGTCAGCCATTTACCCTGTTTCTCTTCTCCCTACTCTGCCAGGCCTATAATAAACTGATTAATATGTCTAATATGTCTCATCCTGTGTCTCATCTTGCGCCCCTTCTTCTTCATTTTTAATTTAAACAAAAGAATAACACTACCTGACTCACATAATCTGTGTTCTGTCCCACTCGATCCTGTCCATATCAAACACAAAAACAATCCACATCTCCAAGTTGCATCACAAACACACAAACAATATGAAAGAGCAAGACAGTACCCAATGCAACCACCCCAAAAATTCAAAAAACCCTATAAAAATGTTCTCTGGTTCATCTAATTACCTAGATGAACCCAGGACACAAAATGTAAAAGAACATTGATAAACTTAATCAAAGAGTTAGAAGATTACACAAAGAAACAATGATTTAAAAAGAAAATGAACCTTAAAGAGAATAAATGCCTAAGTAATACCCATGAAAACACATATGATGAGGGAAGTCCTTCTGTGTATGTTTATCTTATTGGTTGTTGAATGAAGCACTGTTGGCCAATAGGGAAGCAAGATAGGTGGGACTAGGAGTCAAGGAGGATTCTGGGAAATGTAGTAAAGAGAAGTCTTATGATCCAGGTAGGAAGTGTCATAGCAGGCAGACTCAGAATATAAGCAGGGACAAGCCGGAAATCGCTCTCTTCCTCCTCCTCTCTTCTCTGTGGGGGTCACCATGTGATTGCCCGGAAAGAGGACGTATGCCACTGGCGTCCTCCGTAAGATAAGTCTTTATAAAATATGTAGATTAATAGTTATGGTTGATAAATAAGACTGAGCAAGCAGATAAGAAATCCTAGTCATTGGCCAGCAGCACTGTAAATAATATAAGACTCTGTGTGTTATTTTGGGCACCCACATGATGGCAGGGCTTGGGTGGCTGGTGAAAAGATTTATCGTTAATCACAAACATAACATGAAGATAATCAGGGATTTTAAGATCAAATTCAATAAAGAGTAACACTGGAGAGAACTCGTGATAAAATGAAAGTAGAATAACTCAACATTCCAGTTAGAAATCCTAAACGGAAGTCTTACAAGTAGAATGGATGAAGTAGACAATAGAACATTTTTATTTGAATTAACACAGGAAAGGAACAAGCAAGAACTGTAAAACTTTAACAATAAAAAAATTAAATCTTCACATTAAAGGATAGAAGAGGGAGAAGAACCCAATATCAATGGCATAAACCAGATCTTCAACATGATTATAAAAGAAAATTTCCACAGATAAGACATATACATACAGATACAAAAAACTCACACTGTACACCAAATAGACAAGACCAGAAAATAAACTCCACATAGCACATAGTAACTAAAATACTAAATATAAGCTGCAAAAGAAAATACAAAGGTCAAATATAATGGAAAACCCACTACAATAATCACCAGTTTCTCAGTTTCAAACTTTGATAGTCAGAAGACCCTGGAGCCAACCTTGACTACTGTACCCAGCAAAACTATCTGACATAGCTGAAGGAGAAAGACAAAGTTTCCATTATGCAAAGAGGCTAAAAGAATTTATATCCAGCAGTCCAAGACTAAAGAGAATACAAGAAGTAGTACTTTGGGCTGAAGAGAGGAATAAGCAGAGCCAAGAGAATATATATAAAAATATATATGAAAAACACAAATGAAACTGTAATTACCAAAATGCAAAGTAGACTGAGAACACAAAAAGTAAATGGTAACAAAATGATGGCAATCAATACACCTTTCCATAATAACTAAATATTAATGGCCTCAATTATCCAATCAAAAGACATATAGGCTGGCTGAATGAACTGAGAAACAAAATTCATTTATCTGTTCTCTTACATGAAACTCAGCTTTAAAGTTAAGAACCACCTTAAAGTGAACGGATAGAAAAAGTACTCCAATCAAATGAGAACAGGAAGCAAGAAGACAACACTATCCTACTATCTGACAAAATAGGACTTCAAACTAAAACTAATCAGAAAAGATAAAGAATAACATATTATTCTAATCAAGGAAACAATTAACCAAAAAGACATTACAAAACTAAACATATATACACCAAACTCTGGTGCACCCAATTTTATAAAAATCTTACTACTGCAATTAAAGACACAGATGAACATCCACCTATAATACTAGGTGGTTTCAATACCCCACCTTCTCTGAACAAAAGATACACAGAGAAACCTCAGAAATACATTAAGTAGACCTAACATCTATCTATAGAATAGTCTATCCAAATACCAGAGGATATGTATTCTACTCAGCAGCCCATGGAAGTTTCATGAAAATAGACCACATCCTGGGATGAGGACCCTAATGCTTTATCCCAAATCACACATAAAACTAACCAAAAAAAGAGGCCATGAACTTGAAAGGGAGGACAGGGACAGGGAAGATCATGGGCAAGGTTGGAGGGAGCAAAGGAAGGGGGAGGAAAGATGTAATTATATTTCAATTTCAAATCTGTAACACACAGGTGCACCCTAAATTCTCATGAACAATTAGTGTTCACATACATACAGATATACTAATGAATAGTATAGACCAGCAACAGAATTGCTAAGCTCTCAAAACCACTCCCAAGATTCAGCCTGTGCTATTCAAGATCACAGGCAATAGCTATTCTCTAGCACCTTTGACCATGGGCAAAGATGTGGTCAGTGGAATGGCAGCACTACAGGGAAACCAAAAGCCATTACTTTTCCTCCTCTTTTCCAATTTCCTGTGGCATCCCTGGCTGTCACTGTCTCTTCCAGAACTTCCAGTTCCATTCAAACTATTCATCCCTCTGATGCACTAGCTTCTGCCATACAACTTAGTTTTAAATGTCAACTTGCCACAACCTAGAATCACTTAGGAAGATAATCTGAATGATGACTTCTCTAGCTAGGTCAGGTAGGCCTGTGGGTATGCCTATGGCGCATGGTCTTATTAACAAACATAGAAAGTCCCAGTCCACTGTGGGTGGCACATCCCATCCACTGGACCCTGAACTGTATAAGAGTACCAAAATGTAGCTAAGTGTCAATATAAGAAAGCAGGCAGAGTAAAGTGCATTCATTTCTTTCTGCTCTTGAATGTGGGTGTGATGTAACTACTACTTGACTTCCTGAACAAATTTAAGCCATATTATCATTGGCGTTTTAGCACAGCAGCAGAAATGAAACTAGAACACCCAACATGCCTTTTTTCCTGCCACAGCCATGGCTTCTGTATTTGGATATTACCTGTTCTCATCTCCACTCCAAACCTAATGGAAATGTGGACATTTCTTTCTATGGCAAGTATCTTAGCCGCTCATAGACCACTGTTTGGTTATTGACCGTTTCCCTTACCAGTGAAATTAGTTCTTGATTTAACTTTCCTCTGTTGAATAATCTCCTAAGGTTACTATTTTCTAGGGAAAAAAATGAATTCTCAACTAAGCATGTTGCCCCAAGCCTATATCAGCACTTGGAAGGCCGAGAAGGGAGTGTGAGGCCAGCCTGGGTAACATAGTTAATACCAGGCAAACCAAAGCTACTGAGTAAAATCCTGTCTCTGGAAAACAAATCAACAAACAGAAAGAATTTACTGAATATATTTAAGTAAAGTATTAAAAACTTTCAAGTGAAGACACTAACATTATTCTGAACACAGATACAGAGAAAATCAGCCCCTAAATTCTTAAAAATAAAAATAAAGAATCTAACATTTTATTCATAGCAAAGTATTTCTCACTAGGATGAAGTCTTTACTCAGCTGCAATATTTGCCTGAATTAAATCAATCACGTACAATAAAAATGTCACTTTCTGAGACTTACTTAGTAGAGGGGAAAATTGGAAATATTATGGGATTTGGAGTCACTGCAGGCCAAGACATCTGTTCAGAGGGAAAAAAAAAATGTTAAGGAACTCCTGTCACTGACTTATCATTCAAATCCATACAACTCAGGACTTTTTTTAAACTCAGTACTTTTAAAAGATAAATTGAACTAGACTATTCAGTTAAAGCTATATGTTTATTCAAACATATCTCAACATAGTTGCTTAAAATTATAAACAGCAAAGTAAAAAAGAATCACCTTAAACATATGGAATACAATCATAATCTGTAAGTAGATCAATGTGCTAACAGCAGATTATTACCTAAAAGATGTCTCCACTCTTTTTTCAGTAATTATTACAAAAATTCCTAGTAGGACAAAATTGATGAAATAATTCACTCTCTGCCTTTAATCACAGCACTTGGGAGGCAGAGACAGGCTGATCTCTGCGAGGCCAGCCTGGACTAAAGAACAAATTCCAGGACACCCAAAGCTACACGAAGAAACCCTTGAAGAACAAACAAACAAATAAAAATCATTCTCTGTTCATATTGTATTCAGGAAACAGGGCAGTTCCACAACAAAAAGAACATGTACTATTTTTTCTTCTGAGTAAATAGCATTTTTTTGTTTTTGTTTTTGTTTTTATTTTTGTTTTTCGAGGCAGGGTTTCTCTGTGGCTTTGGAGACTGTCCTGGAACTAGCTCTGGTCGCGAACTCACAGAGTTCCGCCTGCCTCTGCCTCCCAAGTGCTGGGATTAAAGGCGTGCGCCACCAACGCCCTGCTTGTAAATAGCATTTCTTAATCTCTGAATCCATTGTCTGGATCTCTACAAATATTTTTAAATCCTATAAATGTACAAATTAAGATTAAAGATCAATTTAAAATTATAGACAGTGTGAAAGAATGAGAACTGTAAAGAAACAGGGACCTAACATTATTAACAGGGGTCTGCTGAGCATAAATTCCAGACATTTATATAAACCACTTATCTCATTTAAAACTTTATGAGGTAATTTTATGAAAAGGTTACACATATTTTCCAAGATATCTCTAACAAACAACAGAAGTAGAATTTCAATTAAGTAGTGTCTGGATCTACATTGTAATCCTATTAACAATTCTCACTTCTTTTCTCTAGTATAAGATGCCCTATGATAATATCAAAGTAAAAATAAAACATTTTTAACAAAAACAACTTGAGTCCTAGTTAATCTCTCAAGAATCTTTAATATCAAGCTTTCAAATAATTAACATAAATAATTATAGTTCAAATCCCAGCTTTAGTGAGTCTATGTTCAGGTTCTATAAGTAAACAGATGATAAGGATCTATCACATAAAGTTCTGAAGTGATTCCTACTTAATATAAACTTCTCACTGATGCTCAAAAATGAGATCAACATCTCCAAGCCATCATCCTACCCACTTCATTTGTGGGTTATTCATCATATGCTCATAGACTAGCCTACTCAACCATTCTTCCTAGTTGCTTGGTATATGAAAACAGGTTGAAATGTTAAGTAATTGTCTATGATCCTCGTCAAATTTTTGATATCTATTTCTCGTAGCTACACGGGCATCAATATTTTACATACCACTCCTTTTCAAACAAAAACAAAAACAAAAAATAATCCCACTTTAAAGAATGATATTTTACAAACATATGCACATTATATAACTCAAACAAAAATTCCATAATAACCACATTTATTTACTGTACATAACCCACTTGATATTTTTTTAATTATTTAGGAAAGTAGAGTAGCAGCCCACTAAACTGATCTCACAAGGATTAACCTACAATTAGAAGAATGTTGCTCTAGTTCTAACCCCCACTAAGGAAACACTGACTGAACTTGAGTGTTTCACCTTCTTCCTCTCCACAGTGAAGAAGATAAAAGACAAGGAGGGGAAGAAAGGAAAAACTTCTCTAGCACATCAAAAGAATTAGTTATCAGTCCACCCAATACAAAAGATCTATAATCACTCTAATCACTTTAACAGTAGACAACTAAGCACATTCATAGTATTTGACCAATTCCACCACCATTTTCATACTTTCATCTCAAACAAGCTGAACAAACTAAATAATTTCCAATGTCTATTTCAGGCAACTCTTCACTGATATTTATAAGGCTATTCTGGAATCATATACAAATGAAGTGAAAACAGAATAATGGACTCATATAACTACATGCTCAGGACTCAACAAATTATGAAATTCTTTGATGTCTAATCACAAAACCTCCTGTTATTCCACCCATTCAGACTTAAAAACACGAAAACTACAGATTCTTTCCACCTAATCACAAAGGCATGGCATTATTACAATAGTATCTACAATAATTTCTTGTGATCTTCAGATGCTGACCCCCCCCAACCCGCCCCGTGAGACAGGGTTTTACTATATAGCCCTGGTTGGCCTGGAACTCATTATGTAGACCAGGCTGCCTTCTATCACACAGAGATTAGTTTGTCTCTACCTCCCAAGTGCTGGAGTAAAAGGCAACCAAGTCATGCCTGGCTATGAAAAAGATGTGCTGTCTTGAAGTTCTTCCATGATTAAATACTGCACTGATTTCTTAAAGTTTCTTAAATCAACTGTTTTTAAAGCCTTATTAGTCAATACAGAAAGAATTACAATGCTTCAAATCAAGTTTTACAGAGATTTCTCCCGTATCACCAGGACTATAAAGCCCAATGAGTAGAAAATATTGTTTTTCCATTAAAGCTCCATATTAGCTAGAATGTCAAAAATTAGAATGTTTTCTTAGGATGTTTCTTAGTTAGGATGTTTTCTTAGCAGAACCCCATAAAAATAACCTAGGAATACTTATGAGTATCACTATTCCACATAACCAGTCATAACTAATTAGAAAGGTCTATTTCTTAAGTGTAATTTTAACAGATTTTTGTTTGACCTAAGTATATCAGAATTATAGAATGTGAATGTAACTTTACTCCCCCCAAAAAGAATAGTATTGGTTTTACAAAAGAGTTAAACTAAACAAAGAAGATTCATGAAAATTAATTGTACAAGCAACAATAATTTCTCAAGTTTTAGTCCACACAACATATAACACATACCATTCTAGTGATCTACCCATATTGAAAGAGCTATTCTAGACAGATATAAAAGCACCACTATTCAGACTGATACAGAGAATGACACAAAAAGACAGTTGAAGGGAGGAAATAAAACATATACTATTAAACTTAAAATATAATCCTTTATTCATGTGTTGGCCTTCCTACATTTTCAGTGTTCTAGTATGTAAACGATCAATGGTTAGTTTTTATTGCCCTTAATAGCCAAATGGAAAGTCAGTAATTTGATTGAATTCTAAACCTAAATATTAAGGAAACAAATACATAGTGACAAATACAAAGAATTGTATGAAATATGTATCATGGCTGAAAGGAGGCAGACCGAGCTGGGACATGAAGGGCTAAAACATTTCCCAAGTCAAAGCAGTGGCAGAAGAAATTTAAGACTGGAACAGCAAATATATGCAAACAAATGCAAGCACAATACAATACGACTTTACAAGTACATCTTAATTCAGCCTCTTCAGAAAGGACCATAAGCATTGAGGCCTTTTAGTGTTTGCATTGACGCTTTTCATTTTAGAAGAAAACAGGGCAAATAAAAATGTGACAATTTTTACTTTTAAAATGAAAATAAATGTCCTAATTAGCAATACAAAAACTTACTTTTATCAATTTACTTTCTAAATATTAATGCTAATAATACTAAGATACTTGTACAAGATAATTAAGATTTCCAAGGACTCATAAGTCAGCCAGTCAGAATCCCAGCTTAGTATCAGCTATGTAAATCAGGAATGTGATTCATCTTCCAGTCTCTAAGTCCTGAGTTGTAAAGACAAAATGAATTAAGATATGTAATGTGTTTAGGATATAAAGGAGCAAGGTAAAGTAATAACTAAAATTAAGATTATAAAAATTATGGGATTGGAAGTAGTTGCTATTAGACTTTCATAAAGTTCTTTAAAACATAACTACTTAGCTTCTACACGGGCTCTGCATTCAATTCATTGTACCATAAAAATAATAAATACAACCATTTTTATGTATGGAAAGCATAAGAAGTTATATGGAACACTTTAAGCTCTTTCATTTACTTCATAAAAATTATGTGAAGAAAGGAGAAGCTGAATGCAGCTAGGTCACCCTTTTTTGTGGCTCCAACTATTTAAAAGTATGCTTCAGATCTCAAGAACACACTACCCAACTGAGGCTACACTTGAAGACATCAGACTTCAGACATCAGAATTAATGGCTTCTGACATTAAAGAATCTTTGACCCAGGCCATTCTGGTCTCCAGAGCGAGTGCCAGGATAGGCTTCAAAGCTACATAGAGAAACCCTGTCTCGAAAAACAAAAAAAAAAAAAAAAAAAAAAAAAAAAAAAGAATCTTTGACCCAATTTGGGCTACATTTGGACTCAAGACTCCTAGCCTATGTCTTACTAAAGCTCAATTGCTGAGCAAGTTTTTCAAGAAGCACACCAAACTACTAAAGCAAAATACAAAAGGTCCAAACAAAAACGTGATGAAGGCACCACACAACATACAGAATATGGAATGTGTACCTCTTTTCCTTCTGACATCCGGAGTTGGCCGGCTGGCTCACTCTACGCCCACTAGCAAGCTTTTTTATTTCACCCTGCCTGTGAAGCTTCCTATACCAGGCATCTCCACATCCAGACGTTATCTGCATCTTTGCTATAGAAGAGGGTCTTTCCTGTCCAGCACCACATGAGAAATGACTATCAAGTTGTATCAATATCCCATCTACTACATTAGTATCACATTTTAACAAGAACCCGAGTGAGTCAGGTTTGAGCAGCAATCTCTCTCTCACTGTTGCATCCCTTTACATTCAAATTTGGGGATGTGGTGATGGAAACCAAGACCTAGAACCCTACAAGAGCAACGACAAATAACCTAAAGGAGAATATCTTGGCCCCTGGATTCAAAGGTTTCTTTTCCTAGTGCGCCGACACTTGACGAATCATGTGCAACAGCACAATATAGTAAGAGTTGGTTTATGGACTATATATAGTTTGATGTACTATTCGTACAAAAGCACTAACATTGCCGCACAACGCAGCCCAATCAGTTTACCATGTAACCTGCATGTTAAAGTTTCCGGATTCCTTCCAATCCACTTGAGATATGAGACTGCAGAAAGTGATGGGGGCGGTGTATAAAACATGTAAACTTCAAAAACTGTTGACATTCTCGAACGCTGAGTTAGTTAATAACTTAAAATAGTGAAACTCAAACTATCCATTAACTAGTATTGCCCAAACTCTAGATCGCGTCTGCACAGAATGTTTTGGAAGATTAGTACATTTCCAGAAAAAAGAAAAAGAAAAAGAAAAAAACGGGGTGGGGAGGGCAACTTTCACCAGTTTTTCTCGGTTCCTGACAGGCCTCGAACTTTCTCGCTGTTGTGAATAACTTAAGTAGCCTAGGACACATGAAGGCAGGGGAAGGGTTTCTCTCTTCCCAGGCTGCTCTTCCCAGGGCACGAGCAGCTGGACTTCCGGCCTGTGAAGGAAACGTGCTACCCAGGGCTCAAATAAACAGGGGACCCGACACAGGAG